TTCGCCGCGCGCCACGCGGCCGCCGCGAGGGCCGCGGCGTCGCTCTCCGCGGGCCTCGACGCCGCCCGCGCGGGCGGCCGCGCGCCCGCGACGGACCGCCTCGCGGCGTACGCGGTCGAGGAGTTCAAGTGAGGCTCCTACTTCTCTTTTCCGCAGGCGGGGGAGAGGAGGGGGGGGCATCTGGCGCCGTCCGGGTCGTTCTTGGCGAGCGCCGCGCGGACGACGTCGGCGCAGCGGGGGCACTTAGAGAAAGTCTTGGAAACGCCCTCTGACCCTGGGCCTTCTCTGATCCACCCCAGCGCCTCCAGCGTGTATACCGTGGCTTCATCGACGCCTTCATCGAAGACTTCACTCTACCTTAGAGGCTAGATCCTCTTGGCGAGCAGGCCATATCATGATGGCGGTGCAGGCCCCGCGGGGAGAGATTGCGAGCTGCTGCATGGCCATGCCCGAGCACGTCGAGCCGTCGTCCGCGGACGGCGCCGCATGCTCGGCGCCGGTCCCGGACGGCGTCCGACGGCAGGTCCCGGACGTTGTGCCGTCGGACGCCGACGTCGCGGCGTGCCTGCGGGTGCTGGATGCCCTGGCCGCGCGGCCGGCGGCGTTCCAGAGCCCGGCGCACCGGGACTTGCGGGCGGCGACGCGGCGCGCGCGCGACGCGTTGGCGCAGACGGACTTTGGCGGCGGCGACGGCCTCGCCTACGGGCGGCGGCGGCAGCTGCGCAAGGAGCGGGAGGCGCGACAGAGCCAGCAGGCGGCCCGGGACCGGAGGCACCGCGACACGACGGCGCTGCGCCGCGGGCGCATCGAGCGGCTGCGCGAGCTCACGGAGCGGAACGGACGCCTCGCGCTGGCGGCGGCGGCGGTCCCGCTGGCGCCCGACGGCGCCGCCCACGTCGCCGAGGGCGCCGCGGCCGAGGCCGGGCGCGAGCTTCACGCGGCGACGCAGTGCTACTCGTGCAAGGCGCGCTTCGGCAACCTGCACCACTTCTATGCGTCGCTCTGCCCGACGTGCGCGGCGCTCAACTGGCGCATGCGCCACGCCAGCGCCTCCCTCGAGGGCCGCGTCGCCCTGGTCACGGGCGCGCGCGTGAAGATCGGCTTCGAGATCGGCTGCAAGCTCCTGAGGGCCGGGGCGACGCTCGTCGCGACGACGCGCTTCCCCGCGGACGCGCTGGACCGCTACGCGAGGCTCGACGACTTCGAGGCGTTCCGGCACCGGCTCGTCGTCCACGCCGTCGACCTCCGGGACCTGCGGGGCGTCGAGGCCTTCTGCGCGTTTTTGGACTCGACGCTCGACCGCCTCGACGTCGTCGTCAACAACGCCTGCCAGACCGTCCGCCGGCCCGCCGCCTACTACCGCGGCCTCGCCGACCGCGAGCGCGCGGCGCGCGCGGCCCTCGCGGCGCCCGGGGCCTCGTCGGCGGCCGTCCCCTGGCACGCCGCGGCGGACGCCGCGCCCGCGAGCGAGCTGAGCCAGCTCCGCGTCGCCCCGGAGGATTCGGAATCCGCGCTCGGCGACGCGCTCCCCGCGGGCGCCGTCGACGTCAACGGCCAGCAGCTCGACAATCGGACTCGGAACTCCTGGACGCTCAAGCTCCGCGACGTCTCGGCCCCCGAGGTCGTCGAGGCCATGGCCATCAACGCCGTCGCGCCGTTCATCCTCAACGCGCGCCTCCAGCGCCTCCTCGCCGTCGCCGCGGCCGCGGCCGGCCAGGCCTTCGTCGTCAACGTGAGCGCCATGGAGGGCAAGTTCTACCGCCACAAGACGCCCAACCACCCCCACACGAACATGGCCAAGGCCGCGCTGAACATGATGACGCGGACGTCCGCCGCGGACCTCGCGAGGTCGAACGTCTACATGACGGCCGTGGACACGGGCTGGATCAACGACGAGAACCCGCGCGACGTCGCCGCCAGGACCGCCGCGGCCGGCTTCCAGACCCCGATCGACGAGGTAGACGCGGCGGCGCGGGTCTGCCACCCCATCTTCCACGGCGTCGAGACGGGCGCCCCCCTCTTCGGCGTCTTCCTCAAGGACTACGTCGAGTGCGAGTGGTAGGCCCCCTTCTACAGCCACACAGCATACGCGGGCTAGAAGGGTGTCGGGCCGTGGGCAGCGTGCGCTGCTCGCCACAAGCAGCCGGCAGGCAATCGCGCCTGAGGCTCGCGAACCTCCGCTGCGACGGCGAGTCGGCTGGATCGCGCCGCCGCCACTCCGAGTGCGCGCCAGCTATGTCGGTTATGTGGGTGCCCCGAGATACGCCCCTGGAGCCACCCGACTTCCCGCCCCTCCAGGCTCCCCTCCACCTGCCAGCCCTCTCTCTAAGGCGGCCTCCGGCTTTTTTTACTCCTGTGATTGTATCGCTGTACACATGAGCTCACATGAGGCTGTAGACGTCTGGTGCCCCTGCAACAGGGACGATCCCGGGCCCCTCAAGAGGAGCCCCCCCGGGGCCCGCGGCTTTAGTGGGCCCCCCATTGCCCGGCTCGCCCAAGGTAGGCGCGTAGGCGGGGGTGTGCCTAACGATCTAATGCGCTTGTGGTAATTTCGTCCGTCGAAAATCAGCTGATTGCCACCAAGTCGGTCACGGTCATCTCACCCCCGTCTCCTCCCTCCTTCAGCGCTTCTGCCTCCTTGTCTCGACTCCAATCGTCGGGACCGCTCCAGTAGGCTCCTACCCTATCACGAGGTCGGGAAGGTTGTTATCCAGGGGGGCTAGAGGGGTACCTAGACGAGCCGAGCTAGCTGACGAGGTCGCTCGTCGAAAACTTTGACGCGACGCCTCCCACGGTCGCCCGCGTTCCGCCACCGCTCTACAAAATGTACCACTCGGAGAGCAAAGAGAAGCCCGGGCGGCTCCAGCGGCTCGCGTCGTCGCGGGCGCTCGACCGCGGCGTGCTCCTCGCGATCATCGTCAACTCGGTGCTCCTCGCGCTCACCGCGGCGATGGACAACGAGCCCAAATACGACACGTGGCAGGGCGGCCTCGAGCTCGCGCTCTTCGTCCTCTTCCTCCTCGAGTTCCTCGTCAAGGTCGCGGCCTGGGGCCGTGCCTACTTTTACGACCCCTGGAACCTCATCGACGCCGCGGTCGTCGCCGAGGGCGTCTACACGCACCCCGTTACGATCCTCCTGAAGGTGCTGGACCCAGGTGTCGCCAAAAATAAGGCGAACGTGTCGCTGAGCGCGCTGCGCATCATGCGGCTCCTGCGGCCCCTGCGGACGCTCAAGCGCTTCCCGGAGATGCGGCTCCTCGTCGAGTCGCTCCTCAACAGCGGCCAGCTGCTCCTCGTCGGCTTCGCCGTCGTGGCCGCGGCCATCTACGCGTTCGCCGTCTGCGGCCACGTCTACTTCGCCGACGCGCTGAACCGCCGCTGCGTCGCGTACCCGTTCTACGACGGGGCGGACTACGTCCGCGACCCGAACGACGCCGCGCTCGCCGCGCACTGGCCTGTGTGCAAATCAAATCTTCAACCCGACTTCAATGTGCGCGTATTCGAATATTTTGACACAAGCACTTCCGCCGTGCTTCGAGAACTTGCTGAGAGCAGTCGATTCGTCCAAAAATCAGCCGAATCGACTTCGATTTGACCGAGCTAGAGAATTCTGAAGTTTGGCCCCGACGTCCCAGCTCACTGGTTGATTTGCACACAGGCACTGGCGCAACGCGTCGGACGCGGACCTCTTCGCGAACCGCGCGCTCTGCGGCCAGCGGGGCCGGCGCTGCGCCGGGCCCCGGGACGCCGTCGCCGACGTCGCGTCGGCGGCCTTCGGCGCCGCGGGCGCGCCCTACGTCGTCCGCGAGCGCTGCGTCGACGTCGCCTACGGCCTCGGCGGCGACGTGCTCAAGTTCGACACCGTCGGCTGGGCCTTCATGGCCGTCTTCGACCTCACGAACCTCGAGGGCTGGCACGACGTGCTCTGGGCCGCGCGCGACGCCGAGGGCCCGGCCGTCTGGGTCTACTTCGCGGCGCTCGTCGTCGCGCTCAACCTCGTCGCGCTCAACGCGTTCCCGGCGATCATCGCCTTCAGCCTCCGGTCCGCGATCCGCGAGGAGGAGAACCGGCTCGGCCGCGAGGCGAAGCGCGCGCTCGGCGCGGGCGCCATGGGCCTCAGCGCGCTCGAGGAGGCGGCCGTCGACATGCTCGCCGCGGAGCGCGAGGACCTCGCGGACGTCGCCGCGGCGCTCGACCGCGCCGCGCGCGGCGGCGCGCGGCGCGCGGCCGCGGACGCGGCCGCGGCCGCGGCCGCGGCCGCGTACCCGCGGGGCCGGTGGCGCGTCGCCGCGCGCGAGGTCGCCGAGCCGCCCCTCGGGCGCTTCCAGCTCGCCGTCTACGCGGCCATCTTCGCGAACATCGCCGTGCTCGCGTCCGCGCCGCCGCGGCCCGGCGCGGCCGCGCGGCGGCGCTACAAGCGCGCGAACGACGCCTTCGCGGGCCTCTTCGCCGCCGAGCTGGGCTTCAAGGTCTTCGGCTTCGGGCCCGCGGGCTACTGGGCCGACCGCTACAACCGCTTCGACGCCGCGCTCGTCGCGCTCGCCGTCGCGCAGGCCGCGTCGTCCGCCGCGTCGCCGCCCGTCTTCGGCGCGCTCCGCGTCCTGCGCGTCGCCAAGCTCGGCCGCGTCTTCCGCGTCGCCGCCGTCGCGCGCGTCGCGCGCGTGCGCCGCATGACGGACGCGCAGATGGACTTTTCGCGCCTCGTCGGCGTGCTCACGTCGAGCGGCGTCTGGCTCGCGAACATCGTCGCGC